CCGGCGGCGCAGCTGCAGCTCCTGGCGCGTGGCATTCAGATGCAGGGAGCCCAGGGACACGCGGTCCGGCAGCCCACACTGCGCGAGGTATGGCTCGGGCAGCGACCAGACGTCCATCGTCGGCGACGTCGTGTTGGCGTCGGCCTTCCGCTGGTGGCACTGTGCGTCCCAGTCCTGGCCGCCATGCACAAGGAGCGACTGCGCCTTGTTTCCGGCGAGGCCCTGCGGGGGGAACATGGCACGCGCATGGGCGCGGCGGTGGGGCCTGTTTCCGGTGCCGTTCACCGGCGCCCAGCTGCCATAGTAGGAGTTGTTCCGGCTCTCCACGGACCAGGTGAACATGGCGGGCGTGTGCTCACTGCAGTCCTGCGTCTTCCCGCCGATGAGCCAGAAGGTGTCCGAGGAGCCCGCGCTGCACATGCGGCTGGACGCGGACGACGCCGCGTAGGCGAGCGGGGGGAGTGCTTCGCTGGCGTTGCTCTGCCGCACGCGCAGCCATGGCGTCTGCCGGCTTGCAATGTACGTCTTGCTCATGTCGTTCAGGGCGCTCATGTCCAGGAGAAGCGTCTCGTTGGTGAGTGTGCCCTCCGAGCTCGTCTGCCCGCCCGCGAACACGACAGCATCCGCGGTCGGCAGATAGGCGGCGGCGGCGCCCCACCGGGGCGCGGGCTGCTCCTGGCTGTACGCAGACGTGTCCGGCCGCGGCATGGACACGTGAAACATATCGGACAGCGACGGCGGCGTCGCCGCAGAGGCCGCGCCACCGTGGGACTTTCCAGAGCCCAGCGGCGCGCCGATACCGCCGAGGCCGCCGAAGCCGCCCGAGGCGCTGCCGGGCTCACTGCCGCCGAGGCCGAGCATGCCCAAGACGCCCGACGCGATGTCTAGCGGCGACATCGGTCCGTCGCCGGGCGGCGAGGAGCCCGTCTCGGCGAGCGGGCTGCTGGTGTCCTGCGCGCCTGCGAAGCTCGCGAGGTGCACGGCAAGTGCGACGAGTGGCACGAGCGAAATCATCGTGGTGCGCACCATGATGGGAGGGGGTTTCGGTGGTGCGAGATAGAGCTGTGCGTTGTGTGGGATGTGCGTCCGCCAGGGATTCGCAGATGGGTGTCGGGGACCTGCCGCCGAGAAGTGTAGTGGAAGGAGACCTGCTCCAGGGATGGCCACGGGGTAAGCAGCAGAGAGAGTGCGTGGTGCAGGGCGCGGATGCGACTGCGGGCGCGCCGTTCTTGTAGTTTCTCGTCCGCTCCCACATAGAAGTTCGCTGCAGCGCACTCCACATGTACGCGGTCGATGTTACATGGGCAGGATCGGGCGATCGGGCCTATGACAGGACGGGACGCACGGTGGCCCGGTCCTGCACAATGCCCCACCTCAAGGCTGCGCCGGTGCCGCGCATGGGCATCCCGAAGCCGGGGACCACCGCGTGGACAGCGTTCCTGCACGATTACATCCGCGATGGATTTGTGCAGGTGCGCGAGGGGCGCGAGACGACGGCCGGTGCGCGGCCGAAGCACGGCATCCAGTTCGGCAAGGCGGAGCCGTGCGGCGAGCAGGTGCCGCACCTCCGCAGCGCCTGGTGGCACACGCGCACGTCCGTGCACGACCCGTCGGACGGCATTGGATACGAGCAGTTTGCGCAGGGCCTCCTTCAGGACCACACGGTCCACGAGCAGGAGTACATACCCACGCTCGTCAAGGCCGAGCGCCTGGAGGCGCTTGTCCCCGGCGTCGCGGAGATCTGGCATCTGCACTATCGCACGCCCGCGTTTGTCCGGAACCGCGACTTTATCCAGCTCGTGCTCACGCTTGCGCTGCCGGATCACACGGAGCCATTCTCCGAGGCGCACGAGGTGGCGACGCTGAACTCGCTCGTCGGCGGCCCCATACCCGACACGGCGCCGGGCGGCCCGCGCTCCTTCCTCGTGGTAAACCAGCCGGTGTCCGAGATGAACGAGCCGCCCGTGCACCACATCCGTGCATTCTATGCGAGCGCCGAAGGAGTCTGGGAGACCGCGCGCGGCGGCCCCATCGCCTGGCTGTGCGTGGCGCAGGCGCCGAGACTGACGCGGTGCAGCATGTCCGTGCAGACGGACTCCGCCGGCTGGGTGCCCTCGTGGATGCAGGAGGTGCGCAGCGCCCGTGCGCACGCTGACCCGCAGAAAATGATGCCTGCCAAGATTGGCGAGGTGCGGCGGCGGACGGGCGCACTGACCGCAGGACGTGCCGTGCTTCCTGACATGGGCAAAGACGCGGCGCGCCGGGGAGCCGCAGCCCGCGGAGTAGGCGCGCGGACGCGTGCAGCGCAGCGTAATTGCAGCAGACAGAGATGGCGCACACACGTGCCGCCCTACAGAAGCTCCAGCAGGTCGTCCTGTCGTGCGGGTGCAGCGGGCGCCGCGGAGCCGTGTGTGGCCGCGGGAGCACCCGACGGTGCGGTGGCCGGCGCGGCGGCGGCGGCCGGCACGTCGAAGCTGGCGTGAGCAGGGCGGCGCGCGACGACGTACATCCCAAGGAGATCGTCCATGGTGTTGCGCGGCGCGAGAGCAGGCACGCCGGACGCGGCGGTCATCGCGGGCGTGCCGAAGGCATCGTCGCCCAGAAGGTCGCCTAGGCTGCCGAGTCTCTGTGCGGCGGCGCCCGTCGCTGCCTGGTTGCTGGTATCCTCCGCGCCAAGGTCGAGCAAATTCTCGCTCGTCGCGCCCTGCGCGACCATGGCAATGGCCTTTGTCCGCGTCGCCTCGTCGCTGTTCCTGGGATGAGTCGCGCACGTGCAGGCACGTACTTGGCGAGCGCGGCCTGCAGCGTGTGCAGGCCGACCCTGCCGCGGCCGATGAAGGCGGATGCAGGCTTGTGGTACACGCTCGAGAGCAGAGACAGCTCGCCAATCAGCTCGTTCAGCAGCGCGCGCGGGATAGACGCCGTAGGCGCGACAATCGGCGGCGGCGGCGGGAGCACCACATTCTGTGGTCAGCGCTGCGCACAGTGCCGCGCTACAAACCCGTGCGGCGTCCGTGTCGGTGCTGGAGAGGAGGCGCCAGTACATGTAGGCGCGGTCCCGCAGGTCCGCATTGTCGCACTCCTTTGTGGCCTTCTCCAGAACGACCTGGACTATGCGCTGCGCCAGCTCCGAGTCGGGCTTCTTCAAAAACGCCTTGATGATCGCCGTGAGCGTCTGGAACTGCACCGTGGGCTCATCCTCGCAAAACTCCTCGACACACACGGCAAGCAGGTCGACCGAGTTCTCGATCTTCTCCGCATACTCGCCGATAATCCACACGAGTGCCGCCTTTGCGTCTGGCTCATCGATGTCTTCCAAGTTCGCGCAGAGTGACGGGATGATCCGCGTGTATTGGTTTGGGTACTTGCGGAATATGTCCTGTGCGGTCAGCAGGCGTTCGTGAAGGCGGAGAGGGGAAGGGCGGCGCGGGACAAGGAGGGAAGCGAGACCGGGGCGCTCGGGGACAAAGAGGAACGGAGTCGCGTACGCACCTTCACAACAACAATGGCCTCCTGCACAACATAGTTCACACGAGAGGCAATGAGCTCCAGGAGCACATAGACGCAGCGCTCCGCGGCGGCCGGGATGGCAATCGCACATTGGCCAATCGCACGGATCGCACGGCGGACAAAGTCGACGTCCACTTCGGACGCATACCTGTGATGAGCAGGGCGGCGTGGCGACGCACTCCTTGAGCTCGCTGAGGAGCATGTCGACGTTGGCGTCGCGCGCGAGCTTGATCATGACGTCGATTTTCTCCGCCTTTACATAGGGCGGGTCGTTGTACTTGCAGAAGAAGATGCGCAGCTCATTCGAGAGGATCTCTGGGTACTTTTGCAGGACGAGATTGATGTTGCGCAGGGCGACCCACTGCACCTCGGGCTCGGACGAGACCAGCGTCACGAGAGGAGGCGCCATCTTGCGGATGAGCTGCTGTACAAATGCGGGCTTCCCCGTGTTCTCCATGTGCACGAGCACGACCTTGACGGCCCCCAGCACCACACTCCCATTCGCATGCTGGAACTGCGGGATGACGCGCTCGCAGATGTGTTCGGCCTCGCGCTCGTCCGCGCTGCGATACAGGGCGAGCGTGTTCAGGATGACAATGCGCCCCCACTCGGTGCACTCATTCAGCGCGACGAGCAGCTTCATGAGCACGTCCGAGTCGAGCGCAAACACGTGCGCCGCGCGGTCACCGTCCATCTCGTGGGCGGCCTGCTGAATGTCGCTCAGCGCCGTGACGGCGTTGGCGACAACCATGGGGTTGCTGTCGCTGATACGCGCCTTCACGGCATCGATGAACCCGCGCTCTACCGCCAGGTCTGGCTTCATGTTGAACAGCTTCGCGACACAGATCACCGCCGTCTTGCGCACGTACGGATTGTCGTCATGGAGCGCGCGGTCGAGCGGATCCGGCAGGTAGTCGATGATCTTCTCCGCGCGCAGGCAGCCCATCGTGCGGATAGCCAGCGCACGGATCAGCGGATTCGGGTCCTCCGTGTCCTGCGGGTCAGAACGCAGCGCTGCGACGCACCTTCACGAATGTGTTCACCGCGAGGATGACGAGCTCCGGCTGCGTCTTGGCGTAGTTCATGAGGTACAGGTACACGAGCTTCTTCTGCTCGAGGTCCTCCGTCTGCATGTTCTTCAGCACGTCCGGGAACAGGCCGGACACGTCCTTCCCGACGGTCATGTTCGCGATGACGCGCTTGATCGCATCCTTGCGGCGGTCGCGGTACTCGCTATTCACTGCGGTGAGCCGAGGCCGCGTGCGACGTACGGTCGGCACGGAGCTCGAAGTTCTCGCCTGCAGCACGCAGGTCAGCATCTGTGCGCGGATGCGCCACGCACCCTTCCGCTGCGCGCCGAAAAACCCGGGCCCGCTCATCGTGGAGACAGCCAGATCGGTGGTGGAAACACGCGGCGGCCGCGCGCAGCGCCCGCGGGGCCGCGCGCAGGCATTCTTGAGTGCTCGCCGCGAGGCCACTCCGGTTTTGCCGGCCGTATGGTCTAGTAGCATGATTCTCGCTTTGGGGGTCACAAATTTGTCTCAATCTGCGAGAGGTCCTGGGTTCAATTCCCAGTGCGGCCCACTTTTTTTGCGGCACTTTTTTTGGGCGCGGTGGCGCGCGGCGTGGCGAGGGACGACCGTGTGCGCCTTGTCCGCGATGCCGCGCGCCGTGTCAAACAAGATCACCAGCGCGCGTGCGCAGGCGGTGTCCGCGTCCCCGCGGCATGCGCAGGCGGCTGCGTCGCAGCAGAACTCAGGCGCGACGACGAAGAACCCCATCTTCAACACGGAGCGCTTTGGGCAGCACATCCTCAAGAACCCGCTCGTCGCGCAGGGGATCGTGGACAAGGCGAACGTGAAGCCGACGGATATTGTGCTGGAGGTCGGCCCGGGCACGGGGAACCTTACCGTTCGCATCCTCGAGAAGGCGAAGCGCGTCACCGTCGTCGAGATGGACCCGCGCATGGCGGCAGAACTCACGAAGCGCGTGCAGGGAAAGTGCGTCGCGCGGCGACATGCCTGACGCGCAGGCCGGAGCAGCGGAAGCTGGATATTGTGCTCGGCGACGTGTGCAAGACGGAGCTGCCGTACTTTGATGTCGTGATCAGCAACACACCGTATCAGGTGCGTGCGCGGCGGCGCGCCGCTGACTAGAGATCTCCTCGCCGCTCGTCTTCAAGCTACTGTCGCACCGCCCCCTGTTCCGCTGCGCAATCCTCATGTTCCAGCGCGAGTTTGCGATGCGTCTCGTGGCGCGGCCGGGCTCGCCGCTCTGGGGGCGTCTGTCTGCGAATGTGCAGCTGTACGCAAAGGTGGACCACATCATGAAGGTCGCGCGCGGCTCCTTCCGTCCGCCGCCGCAGGTGGACAGCTCCGTGGTGCGCATTGTGCCGCTGAACCCACCGCCGCCCGTGCGCTTCGAGGAGTTTGACGGGCTCACGCGTATCGTGTTCTCGCGCCGCAACAAGCAGCTGCGCGCGTGCTTCTTTGGCGCGCGCGGCGTGGTGGAGATGCTAGAGGCGAACTGGAAGACGTGGTGTGCGGAGAATCATGTGGTGAGTGGGGGCCGGGGGAATGTGGGGAAGGGTTGGGCAGGAGGAGGGATGGAGCGGGGGAGAGGGAGGAGAAGGATGGAGAGAAAGGAGTGCGGCCTCGGAAAAGCCGTGCGGGCAAGTGCTGACGCGGCAGACGATCAACCCTAGTGTCCCGTTCCAGGACAAGGTCGATGGCGTGCTAAAGCGCCTCGATATGGGCGAGTGCCGAGCGGCGAAGCTGGACGTGGATGATTTGCTGGCGCTGCTCTCGGCGTTCCACGATGAGGGCATCCACTTCTAAAGGGGTAGGGCGCAGAGAGTGGGAGGGAGGACGGAGCGCGCAAAGGAGCGCGCAAAGGAGCGCGCAAAGGTGCCACAACAGGAAAGAGCGCGCGTGGACAGGATCGCCGAGCAGAGCGGCCGGAGCAAAATACGCTACCCCTCCCTGTGCACATGGCGGCGGCAGCCGCCCACCCCCCTCACGCGCAGCGATACGGGCCAAGCCCAGGGTATACAATAGGGCCCGCGGCGCGCATATGCTATAGAGGTCCGCGCCGCAGCGTCCAACAGGGCGTCGCGCTGTGTCGCGACGCGGGCGTCCCCATTTGGCCGCGCGCCGCGCGACGACGCCGTCACATCCAGCTCTGCAGCATCGCCTCGGCGAGGGCCTCGCGCGTCGCGTCATCGTCTCGCCGGCAGCGCGCGAGGGCACGGCGCAGGTGGAGGCCGCCGAGCGCGCGCGATGGCGCGCGCTCGAACCGCGTGCGCAGCGCGGTGGTGGCCGCATGGAGCGGAGCGCGCAGCACCGCGAGCTGCAGTGCCACTGCGGGCGCCATGCAGTCGTCCAGTCCCTCGGCCGCGACGGCCGCGAGGAGCGCGGGACGGGGCGCCGCGGCCGCAGGCGGCGCACGGTGTGCGTCCGCGCCCGCCAGGTACCGGCGCATTGCACGGAGCACCCGCGTCGGCACGTGTGCGCCGCGGGCGTCTGCGCCATCGACGCGCATGTGCACCCTCACGCCGTCAAGGAGCGCGTCGGCAAGGAGCTGGTCACGTGCGCCGCGGAGGAGCGCGTCGGTGCGTGTACCGTAGAACCCGTCGAGCATGGCGACGTCGTCGATAAAGAGGCAGGCATCTGGCGCATCGGCACCGCGCTGCAGCGCGTCCCAGAGACCCAGATAGAAGTGCGTGAGTAGGGGCGCATCGCGCGTGAGCGACTCGATCAGCACACTTGTGCAGAACATCTGGAACGCGGAGCGCGGCGCGGCGGCGGACCACGCGCGCTCCTCGCCGCCGCCGCGCCCGCGGCAGACGCGGCGGACGAGTACCGCGTAGTGCGGAGCGGTCTCGAAGCTGCGCACGAGCTCGAGCAGGTCGTGCAGCATGTCGTCTGCCTCGATCTGCGCGGACGGGCTGAAGTGGTACCGCGTCCAGTAGCGGGCATGCGAGAATATGCTCCGGTGGCCATGTGGGTCGTCCAGATAGCTCAGGTACCCGGTGCGCCGCTGCACATGCAGCCAGTGGATCTGCCGCGGCTCGTGCGCGGTGTACGCAAGGTTTAGTGCCGCTGGCCAGTACCGGCGGCTCGCGCTGTGCACCGTCGCAGGGAGCAGGCCGTGCTGCGGTGGGAGCAGGGATGGCGTGGGCGTGGGGGGCACGGGAGGGGCGGAGGAGGGGGGGTTGAGAGAGGGGGAAAGGAGCGTGGGGGGGCAACAGACCGCGGAGGGAGAGAGGGACAGGTAGTCGTTCTTGCGCGGGTCCCCCTGTCCGCCGTCGTACCGGTCTGTGCCGCTCTTGCCGTGTTTCCAAGCACCGCGTTCCTCTTCCCCCTTGCTCCCTCCTTGCCCCGCTTTCCCCCCCCCCTGCTCCCACCTTCCCCGTCCGCCACCTGCACAGGGAGAAAACAGACCTCCCCACTGCTCACATCGCGCGCCACCACAAGACGCGGCTCAAGCGCAAGCACCCACATGTGCCGCGCAGCCTGCAGGTGCGCGCGGCCGTCCGCCGGGCTGTCGGGGAAGCGTGGGAGAAGCGCGAGAAGGAGCGCGGCGACGGCCACGTCGCTCGTGCCGAGGGTGAAGCGGCCGCCGCCGAGAAACAAAAGGCCGAGCGCCATGTGCGTCGCCATGTGGCTGCCGTACGAGCGGGTGTGTGAGGGCGCACCGCGCGTCTCCGCGGGGCTGCCCACGTCCGCATGCGCGGCACGCAGGATCCGCAGCAGGTCCACGTCGCCGGAGCCAGCCATGACGGTGGCGAGCGCGAGGTGCAGCACGTCGCGGAGCGTCTCCTGCGCGGCATGCTCGATCTGCTCTTCGTACGTGGCCCGCGCGCCGCCGGCCGGCAGCCGCGCGAGCTCGGCAAGGAGCACGCTCCGCGCGCGCGCGTCCGCGGACCCGGCATACTTGAGGCTCAGCGCAAGGCAGGCGCCCGCGCGCGTATTGTACCAGGCGAGACGCGCGCCGAGGGGAGGCGGCGGAGGGGACGAGGGAGGGGCGGCGGCCGCTGAGGGCGGCTCGGGCGGCGCGCCGGGCGCACCCACGCGCGTGGGACGGCCCCCAGCACAGGCACCGCCGCCCGCGCGCGCCAGCCACGCGGGTTCCGGCGCAATGTCGTCCCAGAGGATGAGCGCGCGCGCGAGCGCGCGGGGGAGGAGGAGGTCCGGGCGCACATGCGGGAGCTCGTGCACGGCGGTGGGCGGGGCGAGGAGCGCGGCAATGTCAGTGCGGTTGCTGCGGAGGAAAACGAGGGCGAGGGCGAGGATCGCGGGGACGACCGCACGCTGCGCGGCCGCGGGCTCGCGCACGCCCGTGCCGGAGAGGAGGCGGCGGAGCGTGGCGAGGAGCGCCGCATCGCTGGGGCTGTCCATGGGTGTGCGCCGCGCGCGCCCGAGGAACACGAGGCCGAGCGCGAGTCCGGCGCACTGCGCATACACGTCGAGCGGCGCGCCGGCCGCGCTGCCGGCCGCGTCCAGGTCGCGCGCGCTGACCTGCGCAAGGAGGCGCTCCGCGGTCCAGCGGTGGTCCGTGCCGCAGAAGACGAGGCCCATGCCGAGGAGGCCCGCGGCCTGCGTGAGCGGGGAAAAATGCAGCGGGGCGCTCCCATGCGGGAGGAACGCGGCGACCTGCACGGCCATCACCTGGCGCGCGGCCGGGTCCGCGGTGCCGAGGAACGACGCGCCAAGGCCGAGCACGAGGCCGACGGTCGTGAGCGCGTGCCGCGGCGCGAGGTAGCGGTACGCATGCACGCGGCCGAGGCGCGCGAGATGCCCGTTCAGCCCGAGGCCGAGCAGGAAGCCCGCGTGCCGCGCGCCGCCGTCGCGCGCCTGGTGCGCAAAGATCCAGTTCGAGTCGATGCGCCACTCGACATGCACGGCAATCTCGAGCGCGGACGCGACGCCGTTGTGGAACTCGGGCCACTCGGTCTCGTGCGGCTCGCCCGCGTACGGGTCGACGAGCGCGCCGTCCGGGAGGGTGCGCAGCGCGAGGCAGAGCGGCGGCGTGCGCCACGTGCCCGTCTTGCGCAATGCGCGCGACGCCATGTGGAACATGCCGCGCCCGACGCACTGCGCCATCGTGCGCGCGGCGTACGCGCGCGCGCACGCGGCGGTGCGCGCTGCGCGCTCCTCCTCGTCGCCGCCGTCCTCGCGGATGTGCGCCACGTTCGGCGCCACCGTCTGCAGGAGGCGTACCACGTCGCCAAGCCGGAAGTCTTTGCTGAACAGCATCGCGCTCAGTGGGTCCAGCGCGGCGTCCCGCGGCAGGGTGCGCTGCAGTGCCGCGTTCACGCGCCCGGGCGTCTGCGGCGCACCGCCGTCTGCCGCTGCCTGTGCGGCGGCGTCCATGCGTCCGAGGAGCGCGTATGCGGCGGGCGTCCACCCCACCGGCGGGTCCAGCGTGCAGCTGCGCACCGCCTCGAGGAGTGGCAGCGCAACGCCCGCGGGCAGCCGCGCGAGTGCGTCCGCATCCCAGCCCGCATGCAGAAGGTGCTGCACGGTGGTTTGCGAGGGGGCAGGGGCGCGCGGCGTGGACGGCGCGCACACCCCGGCTCCTC